CGAGTCCTGGGCAGGGCCTCTGTCCCACCACTTCACCCTGCCAAAATATCACGAAGTTCTGCCCGTCATCCCGGGCAGGTGCTATGCACTGGCTGTCCATCCCCTTGGGGCTGGACCCCCCAAAACTCACCTCCCTGAGCCATGAGGGGGAGGAGGAGGGGAGGGGAGGGAAGGAGAATGGGGGGAGGAGGGAAATGGAAGGAGAAGGGAACAGAGGAGAGGAGGAAGAGGAGGAGGGGGAGGAGGGGGGCCGGAGGATAGAGGAAGAGGAGGGAAGGGGGAGCGATCTGCGGCTTCCTGTGGGCTCCAGAGACCACTAATCAGCCACCCCTGTGGCCAGCTTGGCCTGGACCGGAGGATGTGTGGCCCCCTCCTCCCCACCCCTCCCTGGGTGAAACACTTTCTCAAGTCTGTGACCTGCCTGGCCACAGTGACTTGTCCTGCCTCCCGGACTCCATCCTTGAAGCTCACCCCTTTATCATCCAAATTCCCCAGCCAGTTTTGGAGGGGCTCCCCCACACCCAGCGCCCCCCGCCCCACCTGCCTGATCGGTCTGTGCACAGCAAGCATCTTGGGCCAGGAGACTCGGGGTCCCCACCACAAGGGGCACCCTGGTCTCAGGGGAAAGGGCTGGCTGCCCTGCTCCCATGGGCCGGCACTGTGCATGTCGGGGGACGCCCCCTGCTCTTGAGAGAGGGCTCACATTCCCCTCTCAGTGAGTCCTCCCATGAGCACCACTTCCCTCGTTCTCCCTGCCCTCTGCTCCCACACAGCTCCACGGTCAGAGACGAGGGTCTGCCAGGCAGTGACTTCATGAGATGCTCTTGGAGGGCTCACTGCTATCACACCCCCTTTCAGATAAGAAGTCGCGGCTGGGGAGCGCCCTGACTCCCTGGACACCTGCACCCACTGGCTTGGGCACCACAAGCTGGGTTGGGTAGCTTCACATTTCCTGAGTTCTGGAGGCCAGAGGCCGAGATCAAGGTGCCAGCCGGTCTCTGCCCAGGCCTCTCTCCCTGGCGGGCAGATCATGGTGTCCTTGTGCAGCCTGTTCCTACGCTCCCTTCCCCAGGGACTCTGTGTGTCCACACTTCCTCCTCTGGCAAGGACGCCAGTCAGACGTATGGCCCCATTTTAGCTTACTCACTGCTTCGAAGGCCCTATCTCCAAGTACAGCCACAGTAGAAGGTACTGGAGGATCACGGCTTCCAGGATGAAATGCGGGGAACAGAACTCAGCCCCGTAACAGCCGGCCAGCTTATTAAACGGCATAGTTGGCCCTCACCCGGTCAGTGGGTTACTGAGAAACCAGCCCCCCCACCCCCCATGTGATGATCAGGACGCGGCTTCTGTACCCACAGTCTTTCCAGCATCTTCCCGGTCCTCTGCTCTGGTTCGTACGACTTGAGCTAGAAGCCATGTCCATCTAGATTAATGACCACAGAGCACCCAAGGGCACAACTTAAGAAGCAGGAAGACCCATCGGACTTCTGAGCCTCAGTTTCCCCGCTCTCACAGAGGGCTACGCATTCCACTCTGACAAGGCTCTTGTAAGGATTAGAGGAGAAGCCGGCTTGAGAGAGCTTAGCACCAGCCTGGCCATCCATGTGGAGTGCCTGTGAGCGTGCACCCCTGCTGCAGGGAAGGTTGCCAGCTGGCTTAGCTCTTGTGCACTGGCTGAGCGCTGTGACCGCGTCATAGAGAGCGGAAGAGTTCATGGGACTCTTGGTTTACCTTCGCCTCTCCACCTGGCCACCCTGGTAGAGAATGCTGGGGAGGAGGGAGATGGGAGACATGGGAGACGGGCTGAAAAGTGGAAATGAGCGGAGCCTCCCTGGGGGTGCAGGGGGTTAAGTCTCAGCACTGTGAAGCTGTCACGCCCCTGCAGCTCAAGTTCCATCCCCAGCCAGGGAGTGACTCCCAGGGCGCAGCAGACCTCTCCTGTCTCACCCCCTGCTCCCCTCAGCAATGTATTTTGGTCAGTCTGCCTGTTCTGCTCCCCACTCTGTCTCTGGTGAATCCCCTCCCCAAACCTCTGGCCTGTACCCAGCTCTGTATGCATAAATAAATCTTAAAAAAAAAAAAGTGGACACGAGATGTCCCCAGCCTGACGTCACCTCCCGTCCACCCCAGCCTTCCGCAGCTACTTTGAGCTCTTCAGTGGCCAGGGCCATGTGGACGCGCAGAGCCTGGAGAAGATCCTGCTGCTCGTGGGCATCTCCCTGACACGGGGCCAGGTGGAGGCCGCCCTGATAAGTGCTGATGTTGATGGTGAGTGGGGGGCTTCAAAGGGGACCTGCACCGTCGCTGGGGCGAGTCACTTCAAGGGCCCTGGCCATGGCTGAATGTGCTGCTGTCATGGTCTAGAGATTTTTAATATTTTGTGAATAAGGAGCCTGTCCTGCATTTTCATCTTCTACGGGGTCCCACCAATTAAGTAGCCGATCCTAGCCCCCCCCAATCAGTGCCCTGGGAATACCTGCTGAGTGCCAGGCTGTTGGGACCCAGACGTAACCAAGACCTATGCCTGACCCCACGATGTAGATGATCTCTGAGACCATGTCCTTTGAGGTGCTGGTGTCACTGGGTATTTCTCCCCAATTTGGTCATGCTTTCGCTAGCTCTATCCCATCACACAAGTCAGTGAATTTCATCAAGCCTAGTTTCCCCATCTCACAAGCTACCACACGGATTAAATGAGATCCCTCAGGCAGAGCGTGGATCACAGTGCCTGGTGCTCAGAATGGACCAGGAGACATTGGCTGCCGGTATTAACCATCCCCTACGCGTTTATTCAATGCCTATTGTGTGTCCCTCTCCCTGCTAGCTGCCAAGAATAAAGAGATGTGTAGGAGCCCGTGGGACTGGCCCTGAGGTACTCAGAGAGTGACACAGAAGATACGGAAGTGACACGGCACGAAAAGAAGTAGTGTGTAATTAAAGTGGCTTGGAGCAAGGGGGCAGGCAGGAAGACTTCCTGGAGGAGGTGACGCCGGGATCAAATCATAGCAATGGCTGTCATTTAGTGAGCTTGGGTTACAGCCACGGCCCTCATCTAAGCACTTTCCTGCCTTTTACCGCCAGGGAGAAAGGCACTGGGGTTACCCTCACCCTAAAGGTGAGAATACTAAGGCTTAGTGGGGTTAGGCGACTTTGCTGGGGTCATATGGCTAGTAAGTGGGGGACCTGAGATATGACCGACACCCAAGTTTCCAGGACTTATTTTTTTTTTTAAGATTTACTTACTTTAATTTAATTTAATTTAAGAATTGGGGTACAGGCCAGAGTTGCAGAGGGGCGAGAGTATTCACCAGAGACAGAGTGGGGAGCAGAACAGGCAGATCGACGAAACACACTGCTGAGAGGAGCAGCAGGCGGGTCAGGAGAGAGTTACTGCGCCCTATGGGTCAGCTCCCCAGCTGGGATCAAACTCCTGCTGCAGAAGCTTCGACAGCTTCATAGTGCTGCAAGTTAACCTGTTGTGCCACCAGGGAGAGCCCACTTTGGAGCTTCTAACCCAAGAGATTTCCTTCTGTGCTCCTGCCGCCCTTCCTGCATTGAATACATGTCGCTTTTCTAATCAGACCCAGTGAGTGAGTGCTATTAGCCTGCCTGGGTTGCTGCGCTTGGATCTGTTCTGCAAGGCCCCTGCCCACCCGTTATCCCTCTGCCCCCGCAGGAGATGGTCGCGTGAGCTTCAAAGACTTCTTGGCCGTGATGACAGACACCAAGCGCTTCTTCTGTTCTGTGGGTGAGCCGAGGCGAGCCCAGGGAAGTCACAGCTGAGGCTGGGGCGGGGGGACAGCCGTGGGCTTCCAGGGCTGCTGTGTAATGGCAGCCCCCATCCCACATCCCCAGAACAGAACGCCCTGATGGACATGGCTCCCTCGAACCCCCACACACTGCTCTTTGAGATCCTGTCCCTGTTGGTAGAGATGCTGGCCTTCCCTGAGGCAGCCCTGGAGGAGATCACCAAGTGAGTGGGGCTGCGGGGAGGCTGTCACAGAGAAATGGCACCTGGCCTTTGGCACCTGAGGATGCTGGGTAGCTAGGCCCCTAGTCACAAGTGATAGAAATCCAGGTGAAACTGGGTTTAGCCAACGGGAAGGTGTTGGCTCTTATAACCTGGGGGTGGGGGGGAGGTGGAACACTAGGAATACTTGGATAGGACCCAGGTGAATCACGAGGCTTTATCTCTCCGGCTCATTCAACTGGGCCCTTCCCAGTGGGAAACGTGGCAGCTGGGGGCCCCACACTCACACCCTCCTAATTTAGTTAACTTGGGGCAAAGGAAATTCTTTCTCCAATACTCACAGCTCAGAAAAGGAAAGTGAGGGCCCTCCTGGTGGCACAGCTGGTTAAAGCACAGCACTATGAAGCTGTCCGCAGTCTCTGCACCATGAGTTCAATCCGCTCCAGGGAGTGACCCACATGGCGCAGCATGTGACCTACCCGCTGCTCCTCTCAGCTGTGTACTTCGTCCATCTGATTGATCTGTTCTCGCGGTGTCTCTGGTGAATCCTCTCATCCCCCCATCTCTGGCCTGCACCCCAGTTCTTGTATGCAAACATAAAGAAAAGAAACAAATAAGCAAACAACAACAAAAAAAGGATTGTGGTACACCACCTGCCTCAGAGGGCTCTAGAGACAGAAACCTGCCATAATTCCAGGAAGGGTCAGATAACGAGAGCCCATCTCAGGAAGAGATGTCTGTTTTCAAAACAGCATGAACACTCAAGGCCAGAAGGAGAGGCAGGAGCTGACACCCAGCCGCCCTGTCTGTGCATCACACCGAGGCTGGTCTCTGTGGCTTGGGAAGATGAATTCATCTTTTCCTGCCCTATCCATCTTTTCAGTCTGAGCTCAGGGGATGGGAGGAGTTTCAGCAGGTTGCTTCAACAACACTGATTTAGCAACCTAAAAGACAAGAGACCTTTTCTCCTCCCAGCAGCTATAAATCACTCTCTGTATGACTCTGAATGACTTAACTGTGTCATTTTAAAAATGAGTAAAGCAAGTTTCCAGGTACACATGAGCCCAGTTGAATGATTATTTCCCATCATCTTGAAGTCCCTGGTTGGCTCACCCCAATCACAAAACACTTTCCCTAAAGAAAAACTATCCATTAATTCCTTTTTGCTTTAAAATGTCACTGTTTATCTTCTCCTTTTGTTTATTGAAATTTTCAAACATACAGGCAAAGTTAAAAGAATGTTACAGGGAGGGCCTCGCTGGTGGTGCAAGGGGTTAAGTCTCAGCACTATGACGCTGTCTGCAGCCACTGCAGCAGGAGTTCAATCCAGGCCAGGGGGTGACCCACAGGGCGCAGCAGACCTCTTCTGACCCGCCCGCTGCTCCCCTCAGCAGTGTGCTTCATCAATCTGCCTGTTCTGCTCCCCTCTCTGTCTCTGGTGAATCCTCTCACCGCCCCCCCCACCCCACACACACCTCTGGCCTCCACCCCAGTTCTTATATGTGTAAGTGGACACTTCCACGCATATACACCATCTAGACCGTATCGCTGCCATTTTGCCACCCTCATTTTACCCTCTTTCTCCTTGTCCTTTTCGAGCTCTAGCCGTTGACTCATATTATCTTTATTCATTTCAAAGCAAATCATAGTCATTTCCCTCTTAATACTTGAGCATACTTCTCATTCATTGACGGTTAATATTTGTGAAGACATTTTTCTTTTCACCTTTCAAGGTGTAATTGGCTGTGTAAGGTGTAAAGTGTCTCACCACCCAGATCCCCGCAAACGCTCACCCAGGCAGCCTGAACCCTTCTCTCCATACTGAACTTCACTGTGACCCAGAAAGTGCCCTCTGACCCTCCCCAGGGCCCGCCCCTCCAGAGGCAACCACTTTCTAATATTTTTCATCACAGATTGGTTCCATCTGTTTTACAACTTCAGACAAATGGACGTGAACGGTGTGTGTCTTAGTTTCTGGCTTCTCGCACTCACCTAACGCGGTGGGTGTTGATCCTTGGTGTGGTGACCAGTAGTTCACGCTGCATGTGGCCATGTGGTCATGGGTCGCTTCACCATGGGGATGCATTCTGAGAAGCTGTTCAGATGCCCTAAGTGTAATTACAGAAGCCTGATAGTCAGCCTACCACACATCTAGAGGCATGGTTCAGCCTACTGGGACCTCTGCGGTGTTAAGTGGTCAATCCGTGGTTGACCAGAGTGTCGCTAAGGGATGTATGTATGACTGGTGCATGAATAGATCATCATTTATTCATCCATTATTTTATTTTTTATTCATCCATTTTTTTATTTATTTATGCATACAAGAGCTGGGTGCAGGCCAGAGGTGTGTGTGGGGTGTGTGTGTGTGTGTGTGTGTGTGTGTGTGTGTGTGAGGATTCACTAGACACTGAGTGGGGAGTAGAACAGGTGCATCCATTGAAGTCCACTGCTGAGCGGAGCAGCAGGGTGAGGCAGGAGAGGCCTGCTGCACCATGTGGGTCAGCTCTCTGGCCAGGGATCAAACTCAGGTCATAGTGGTGTTCACCCCTAGGCCAGCAGGGCGGCCCCTCTTGTGACATTCTTGTCTGATTTTGGCATCGGGGTAATGCTGGCCCTGTAAAAATGAATTTGACATGCTCTTTGCTCTGTTATTTTTGGAAACAGTTTGAGAAGGTTTGGAACTGATTCTTCAGATGTTTCAGAGACTTCACCTGAAGTCACCTGATCCTGGGCTTCTGTTGAGAGGTTTTAGATCACTGGTTCTACCTCCTTACTAGTAATCTTTCTGTTTGGATTTTCTGTTTATGTCTCAGTCTTGGTGATGTCTCTAAGAATTCACCCGTTTCTTCTGGGTTGTCCAACTTGTTGGTGTGTAATTGTTCATCATGATCTCGTTTAGTACTGTATTTCTGTGGTAATACGTCTGCCTCAAAGACTTTCTCTGATAGCCAGTGGCATGTCCCCTCTCCTCGTTCTGTTTGTCACCTCCTCCCAGGTGCTCAGTGACCAGCGAGGAAACCAGCCCCTCACTGCCCTCGGCCTTTCCTGACGTTCCCTCGAAGCACCCATGCCTACCAATATGCTGTCATATTATTTGTTCTTGGTCTGCCTCTCCCACTAGGTCACTGGTTTATTTTTTTACGATTTACATATACAAGAACTGGGGTGCAGGCCAGCAGTGCAAGGGGAGTGGTGGTGAGAGGATTCACCAGAGACGGAGTGGGGAGCAAACCAGGACTGACTGAAATCCACTGCTGAGGGGAGCAGCAGGGAGACCAGAGAGGTCTGCTGCGCCCTGTGTGTCAAGAAGTAGATGGAGGCAGAGCCAGGACCGCACCCCGGCCCCCAACTCCAGCCGTGTCCCTGCTCCAGAGCCCGTGAGACAGAGCAGGGCTCGGGAAGGGTGAGGGAGGAGGCGGTAAGTTAAACACATGAGGCTGAGCCGAGCGCGCCCGCTCCCCCAGCTATTACCAGAAGAAGCTGAAGGAAGGCACTTATAAGGCCCGAGAGATGGAATTGGCCATAGGCCAACTGCGGTCCCGGAAGAAGCATCCCTACCCGCCCCAGCAGGCAGACAACTTTGAAGTCCCGGAACGAAGGGTCCTCAGGATCTTGAGTCGGCTGAAGCAGCAGAACTATGGTGAGGGCCCCAGTGCGGCAGGGCCTGCTCCCCGGCCTCTTTCCCAAGCCCCACACAGCCCCCCTCACAGCTGACCTGCAGTCTACGCCAAGGGCCTTCTGCACAGACTCTCCCCACCCGCCTGTGCCAAGAACCGGGACCTAGAGCGTGACCAGCAATCCCAGCCCATTACTTCTAAGGACCTCCTGGGGTCCCTGGCTGTGCTGAACCCTTTGCAGACAGCCAGCATTCAACCCTGATCATCACATCTGTAGCCCGCTTTACAGATGAGAACCTGAAGCGGGAAGTTTCAGCAGCTTGCCCCAGGCCCCACAGCTAGTGTGTTTCTACTCGGGCCCACTGTAAAGCCTGTGCCATTTCATTAGGTGCCCGCAATGTGATGGGTGAGCTTCTGAGTCTGTAGCATCTGCCAGACCGGGCCAAAACCCTTACAAAGCTACAGCTGCTCCTTCGGAGGCCATTTGTAGCCCTTACTGCCCTCGACACTCAGCCCAGTGCTGGCAGGGCAGGGCTGACTACACCACGGGCTGGGAGGTGTGGACAGTCACACCTCAGCTCAGACCGGTGGAGACCGGCCACACCCAGCGGCTGACGCAAGGGAACTATGTGGCAACGCTGGGATTCCTCCTGGGTCCGCCCGCCTCCCAAGGCTGGGCGTGCTGCGACACCTCCCCACTCCTGCCTCCTCTGCCCTCGACAGCTGCCAACCTGCAGAGCCCCTACGCCCAGGTGCCCTGCATCCCGCTCTGTCCACGGCTGGAAAAGAAGACGGTCCGCCGGAAGCAGGGAAACCACTACGTGCTGGATCAGTTCACCCCCACCTGCCTGGGGCCTGACATTCGGAGCCTCTTCTTTCAGTCAGGATCTCAAGGAAGCAGGTGGGTGCCCCAGCCCAGGCTCAAGCATCTCTTTTCTCCGGAGGCCCCTGGTGCAACCCCAGTGGAATCCACCCTTCCAAGAGGTGGTGCCTGGAATGTTGCTCCAGGGAGAAATGGAAAGGATGAAGGGGACTCACCTTGAGGGCTAGTGCACCGGGCAGACTGAGGCGTAGTACATGTGCCTTCCCGAACCCAGTCCTCAGAGGCACCTACTTTCTCTTAGGCTGGTACTAACTGCCTTCCCATGCAGGGGTGAACGCTGATCTCCCATGCCCAAGCCTGACTCCACGTTAGGAAGAGCAGTTCCCCTTGGGATACAAGGGCACTGATGGGAATCAGGCGCCGTCATCTCCCAGCTAAGGCCCCCCCCTTGGGCAAGGGAGCCCAGCTCACTTCTTTCCCCCTTCCCTTCACCCCTGTCCCTAGGGAACAGAGTTCTGACAGCCGCAAGTGGCTCAGCTCTGTGCTGGCCCGAACACACTGAGCCTGCAGGTCCTGACTCGGGCAGCTGTTCGGGCCTGCCAACGGTGGGTCATCGGGCAGGCGCCGCGGCTGCATTTTGCTTTTGTGGCCTGGTAAGCCAATAAACACCAAGAACCTCAGCCTCGCCTGGTGCCAAGGGAGGCCCCAAGGTGCCCACCCCCTTGGTGGCTGTGTGTGCAGGGCCCAACTTCCTGGCGGCTGGGGAGCTCTTAAAGCAAGACTAGCCCCAAACCTAGCTCGGCTAGAGGTGGCCCCGGGATGAAGTCCGCAGCTCCCACCTGTGTGCTCAAAGCATGAGCTGAGACTCCTTGGAGGAGGTCTCTCTCCTGGAGTAGGAGCCCTCGGGGGCAGGAACTCTCTCCTCACTTGCTCACAGTGGTGATCACAGGGAAGTTCTGGGGGAAAGTCTCAGTCATGCTCTCACCATAAAGTTGCCAGGACCCAGGGGTACTCTCCTCTTGGAGCTTAAGGGTGTGGGTCCTTGGCCCCCCCAACCCTAGGCCTACTTCTCCAACAGACAGCCCCTCCCCGGGACTGAGCAGAGGTAGCCCGCCAGCAGTCAAACAAGCAGCCACAAGAGGTCAGGTCAGGGGCTGAAATAAGGACAAGGCTCTGACAAGTTTAAAACATGTATTTAAAATACAATTTATAAAATGCTTAATCTGCCGACTCAGGAGCCCGCGGTGCGGGGTGGGGTGGGCAGCTGCCCGCCAGACCAGCAGAGCAGACTGCAGGGGTGCGGCCCTCCCTCCCATGCCCTCTGTTCAGACACCCAAGGGGCCCATGTGCACCCATAGTATCACATAGCCAGGAAACAGGACCCCGGAGGTCTCCAGAATCTCTTGCTTCCTAGGGAGGCTGGGGGCAACCCTGCCGGCCCATCCCTGAGCAGAGCATCCCCGGATGGGGCAGAGCAGGGTATGGCTGGGCTGGACAGGGCAGAGCGGGGCAGTGGGCTCTGGAAGGGGCTGATGGTAGCAGATAGGGTGTTGCCTCCTGCCTGCAGGTGGGGAGCACCCTGATTGAGTGGGCTGAGAGGGTTGGTCACCAGGTCCGGCCCCCCAGCTCCTTTGGTTATAGGCTGACATCAGAGTAGTGGCTCATGGGAAGCGGTTAGCTGGAAGGTCTGAGGCCTGGCTCACAGGGTCAGGGAGGAGCTGGGGGTAGGGGACAGTACCGTGAAGGCAGATAAAAGGGCAGCAGCCTCAGGTTTCTGCCCTCCATACCCCTGGGGGTTTCCAAGCCAAAGCCTGCAGCTTACTTTAAAAAAAAAAAAAAAAAAAAAAAAAGCGCACTTAAGGAAAGTTACAGACAACTACTGAAACACACACACACACAAAAAGAAAGAAAAGAAAAACCACACACACACACAAAATGCAAACCGTTCTCCCTTCTCCCCTCCCACCTCCCCCAACACGATACAGTTTCCTGTTTTCATTTCTTTTATTTTGCCTGCCGCCTCTCCGTCGGGGAGGCAAGGGTGTGACTGCTGGTGGGTGATGACAGGCACACGGCGGGCAGAGCCCCATCTTTGGCCGCAGGGCGGTGCGGACACCAACCCCGCTACATCCTCACTCGAGACACCCATCAGCCAGCCTTCCCTTCGGCTCCCACTGAAGGGGGTGCGAACAGGTGGTCCCCATGGCTGAGCTATCAGCACGTCTGGCCTTCCTACCTGGCCCACCTGCGCCCTTCCCAGTGAAAGGAGTCTCGCTTTGGGCCAGAAACCACTGTTCTGTGAGGGACGGCCCTATCCATTTAGGATGCGGAGAGCTGGCCAGGGCGGGCAACTAGAGTGACAGCAGCCAACCTCCTCCCTTGCCCCCCAGAGGTCATTCCCCTAGGACAAGGTGCAGGGACAGCCCCACACCCCGTGGGCTCCTAACGACTGCAGCTCGTTCAGCTCCACTCGCAGCATTTCCTGGCTTCGCGCGCAGAGGTGCGGTGCACTAGCCGCCGGCTCGCCGGGCAGCCGCCCCTCGTCTGACAGGAAGATGCACTGGGAGACGGCGCGTCGGGCCTCCTTCCCCACGGCAAGGCTGAGCCAGGCACGCCAGAGGGGGGACCGCAGAACCTCGCTTGCCCCTGGGCCACTGGGAGCTGCTGCAGTCAAACCGTCACACTGACCACTCCAAAGTCCACCCGCTGAGTGGGGAGGCTGGCTGGCTGGCTGGGGGATAAGGCGCAGTGCAACGGAAGAGTCCAGAAAGTCTGGGAGGCCCCAGACTGTACACAGAGCTGCTCTGTGCGGTTGCCCTTGTAGCCTCTTCACCTCCAGGAGGCAAAGCAAACTCCAGGCTCCAGGGACAGAGGGCAAACGGCCTTCATTCCAGGGCCTCTGTCCGGAAAAAGGGGTGAAGGGCAGCCTAGGCCTGTGGGGAAACCCGTCTGCCGTCACCAATCTCTGCAACACACAAGCTTTTCTTCTCCCAAATGTATTCAGAATGGTCTGCTCCCACGGGAGTGATTTCACACAGGAAATGTACCAGGAATAATTAGCAAGTTGTTGCCATCCACAGAGATGGCCCTCCGCGCACCCTTGCGAGTCAAGCCCTGCCGGAGTGGGAGGTCCAGCGGCCTTTGGACCACACCAGGCAGAAGGCCCCGCCTCCTGGAGCCAGACTCTCGTGGTTTTCCTTGTGCTGCCAGCAAAATACTGAACAAGTCTCGCATCATCCCTGACTTCAAAGCCCAGGAGTGTGGTCTCACTCCCTGCCCTCTTCTAGAAGTAGCAAGCCTGGCTGGTAGGGAACTACCCTGAGGGGTATGGGAAGGGAAGTCTGTTCACTTTCCCTATCTCCCAAAAATACTAGAGGTGGGGTTGGCACCCTCCCCAGGCTCTCTGAGCCCATAGAGCTAGCCCAGACTCCAGGTAGAGCCACGGTGTCCTGGGACTTAGCTGGGAGGAGGGAGGTATAGGCATGGGGTGCTCGTCGGTCCTGGGGGCGGCAAAGCCCTGCCCCTTTTGTCGGGCGGCAGTGGGAATACAGAAGCTAAGCTCACCAATATCCTACTGGTTACTGTTTCTAGGGGATTTCCCAGAAACATGTTTAAGTAGGCTATCAAACTACCCTTTCTCAATTAAAAATTCATTAAACTCCTAAAACCCCTCCCATGCACTTTTTCTTGCAAATCAGGTATTTGTATAAACAAACAAAAATAGGAAGGAAAAAAAAAAAAAGAAAGGATATTTTCCAATGGAACTTGCTTCTAGGTGATGAAGACATGCACTTGGGGGTGGGCGGGTGGGAGTTCTCATTTGTGTTTTGAAATCCCAAATTAATGAGCATGATAAACTGTTATTGCTGGCGCTGGCTTACCCCAAGTGGCCAAGTGGCACTGCCTGACTCTCTACTCTGAGTCCTAGGTGGGTCCCCCAACCCTCCCCTGACCCCCGCCCTTTCCCTTTCCATTGACTTGGGACAGCCCTTGGAGACGTGCCACTCACAGTAGGAAGGGGGAAGGGGAGGTCACAGTGCATGGGGTTCAAGGTCACAGTGGGTGGAGCAAGGGGGATCACAGTGCAAGTAAGTCAGGCCGTTCCCTCTGCTCAAGTCCAGCTGTCGGCCACGGCAGTGCGACCCGCGGCGGACGGCCCAGGAGGCGCGATGGCGGCAGCGGCGGCATCCTTCCTCGCCCGCGTTTATCTGCGCTGTTTGAAGCCTTGTGACCCGTCGGGACCCAGAGGCTGTCTGATCACATTATTGGGCTGCCTGCTGTCTTCGGGTTGGGAGATCCTGGTTGGCCTGAAGGGAAGATCACAGGGAGGCCTGAGAAAGAACACAGGAGGTCTCCAAACCGTAGACAACCACCACTGCATCCCGCCCACTCTGCCCTCTGCCACTCTGGCGACAAGAATCAGGGCCTCTCCATGGTGGGGCCACTGTGGCAGGGGGCCCACGCTCACCCTCACACCTGCAGCTTTCTTCCCCACAGCAGACCCGCCATTGTCCCGGAGGCGGGGGCATGGTCAAGAGCCCGTCCCACCCAGAGCGAGGGCCCTCGAGTGCTCCCTCCACAGCCACGCGGGCGCTCCAGCACCAGCCTAAGGTGAAGGCCCTGAACTAAGCTCCGAATACAGAACTCGCCTTTGCTGCCCTCCCGCTTCTCTCCAAACCATGTGCCTGATGCTGACTCATATTATTACGGAAAATGACAAGCAAAGGCTTTTCCCCACTCTGCCAAGCGAAGACAGGGGCAAGATGATGGGTGCCCATCCGAATAGGAAGGGAAAAAAACTTGAACGCGGCAAAAAGACAATAATGGCCAGGAGGCAGGGATGGGAGAGCGAGGCAGAAGGAGTATGCGGTGGTCTGGTGGAGGAGAAAATGACAGAAAAACGTAGAAAGGGACAGAAAGAACACGGGTTAGTGCTTCAAGCCCCAGAACATCAAGCCCAAGGAGAACCCTCAAAGAGGCTCTGAGACAGTTTTACCAGGACTTAAGAAAAAATGCCCCCCCTAAATTGCAGTGGGCTATTGTGAGACCCAAAAGGAAACCTCTAAACACCTCCCTGGCACTTTTCCTTGTGGCCGGCAGGGGTCTTAGGCCCGCTGACCGGCAGGCAGTGCGCCTGGCCTGCTGCTCAGGTAGGCTGCGCCGGCACAGGCGCGAGCAGCCGCGGGCTCAAGCTGCAGATTCTGCCTCAGTCCACACCTTCAAACCTTTATGCCAGGGCGTCCCTTAGCAGAAACTAGGTCTCAGAGCTCAGCGCTATCATGCTATCGCCACTGCAGCCCGAGTTCCATCCCTGGCCAGGGAGTGGCCCAGAGGGACCCCGTGTCCGCTGCCCTCCTCAGCAGTGGACTTCAGTAGTTCTACCTGTTCTGCTCCCCGCTCTGTCTCTGGTGAGTCCTCTCACCGCCTACACCCTAGTTTTTCTATGAATAAATTAAAGAAATCTAAGCCTTGATTTAAAAGGCTAAGTCTGCCCCCTGGTGCCTGCAAAGGCAGCACGTGGCCACACCACAACCTCCTCAAAAGCTTCAGAGGCGCTGTGGGCCTCCGCACCCCCACACAGCCTCTCCTCAGGCACCCTGCCGCTGCACTCACCTGTCGAGGATGGGTTTTTCCTGCTCCTCCTCGGGGCTGGCGCTGCCCAGGATCCGCTTCCGGGCTTCCGCGTACTCTGCCTCGCGCTGCGCTAGGGACTTGACGGGGAGGGCTGGCCTGCTGGTGGAGTTGGGGCTGCTGACCACACCGTTGCTGGTAGGCCTCTTGAGGATGCGGATCTGTGGAGGGGGCCCCGTGGGGAGGCTATCGTCCTGAATCACAATGGGCACTTTGGGAGGAGATTTGGATTTCCTGCTGGCAGAGAGCAAACACGGCTTTACAAGTCCTGCCCTGACCAGGCATCCCGTCCATGCCCACATCCACCTCGTCACCGTCACCGTCTCCCCCTCGCTAGCTCTAGTTGTTATTTTCTGGTTTCCTCACTCCTCCAGAAGAGTTTTTCTCAAAAGAGCAACCTTACCACAAGCTCTCACAACCCGATTCTGGGACTTCTATCCGCACTGTTCATCAGTCATAGCAACCACTGCTTGGCCTCTGTGGCAAAACAGTTCATGTCCGCAATTCAGTGACTTCAGTTAAAACCCACCTTCCCTACACAGGCCAGAGTTTGACAGGCTGAGCCCCAAGCTCACGGGTCAGCGCAGTGTCCCTCTCAGTCAAGGCTTTCCACCATACGTGCTCACACCAGTTATCGCTACCAACAAGCCAGCTCCACCATCACTGCCTGGCACCAAGACAGGATTTACCAAACTCCCTTGGTCTAGGGAGTGACCGTGCCTCCCAGAGGCTTGTCAGCAACACCGGACAACGGCATGACCCCCTCAAAAGAGCTTCCGAGCAGACACACCTCCATCACCAGGGCTCTCCAGTATGCTGGGCACGGCGGGGCTCGGCGAAAAGACGGGCCTAGAACAGTGCTTGGCAATGTTCAGAGAAGAAGCATTGCCCAAGGCTGGTGGTTTGCACATCAGGTGATGCACAGGAGAGGTCCACAGGAGAGGAGGAGAACAAAGACGAGCCACAGGAGAACAGGGGTAGGCAGGAATGACACCCACTGACAGCCATAAAGACCCGCCCACAGCAGTCAACCAAACAGGCACACAGGGGCCTGTTTTCACAGCCTTGATTGCTCGGAGGGGCAGAGCCCAGAGGAGCTCAGCTGTTGTCAGGGTGGGCTGGAACCAGTCCCAGGCAGGACAAGAACGGCAAGGCAAGGGGACTGGAACCAGGTTTGTGCGGTTGCTGAGGCGAGCAGACAGACAAGGAGCCAGCAATCTAATCAAAGAGGCAGGCAGCCAGAAAAGCTAGCGGTCAGGCACCCCAGAGCTCTCTGGGGGAATGAATGTACAGCCCATCAAGTTGAGACAGGCCCCCTCTCCCTAGCAGCTGCCTGTCCCCATGGGGAGCCGACATGTTACCTAAGCCCACAAGCTGCTAAATTCAACTTTCACCTACTGTGGAAACCCACATCCCTCCATTGTCTGTGTGGAAAACAAGGCTATCTTTAAAGGTCTTTCAAGAATTTTCTATAATCTTTTCTTCCAGAATACCCCCCAAATACCCAAGCCACCAAGTCACAGAGGGCCCAGAAAACTGTCCATATTCCTTGTGCCACAGAGAAAAAAACTGATGTTCTAAGAGGAAAACAACTTGTCCACACCTCAGAGCAATCGAGTGCAGCACCCGGCCTAGAATCCAAATCTGACATGTCACTGCCCCCCTTCCCACCAGATCACCTCACACAGGGTGCCCACTCTAAGGCAGAAAGCAGGTGCAACACCCCAGTCTCTCTCCCAGAGCCTCAAGTCACAAGTGCTGGTCTCTGCCTTGGAGGGACGGCTCACTGCCCCAGGGCCTGACCTGCTCAATCTACTGGCCAGCTGGCGCTACCACTGACTGCCCAGCTCTCCAACAGCAGAGAGCATGAGCCCTCAGACCAGACAGCAGCCTTACCTCTCCTTTTGTGTGATCTTCAGTTTTTTTTCCAACCGTCTGTCTATTTCCTAGAGGAAAAAAATGTATATAAAAAGTGGAAAAAAATCTCTCTCAAATAAAAACTTAACGCCTTTATTTTCAGAGCTAAGGGCAGTATTCTCTCTGGCCAGGGACGTGACCATGTCCTTCCAGGTAATGGATGTGGGCCTCCCTTTACTATACGCTGGGGCTCGGGGACCGGCCTGCCTTGCAGGCTCCTCCTCCTCCATTCCCAAGGCCTCAGGGAAAGTTCGAAACCTCACCATCACCAGCTGGGATCGCCTCCAACTGGCCGGGCCTCCAAACTGCCTCTGTAGAACCACTCAAATCAAGGTGCTACACCTAAGTCTAATAGTGCCCCTTCAAGCCCAAGCTCCTAGCATGCCTTAAACATTCCTTCCTTCACCAGTGGTCTCTGCCTGCCTGCATGCTGCTGCACTCGCCAGCCAAGCCCTCTCTCGCAAGCTCCCACTTAAGGACAACGCCCAGCGTGGACGTCCACTTCTCCTCCGTGGTGTCCCCTGAGCCCTTGCAGTCATCACCTCCTCAGACATAAGCGCTTCCTTTCACATTCCTTCATGATCACTTATTTTGGCTCACGATCCCTTATTCTGGAGTCTACTTTCACTGGTATGGCCGTGAACTCTCTGACAAGCTCCCAGCAAAAGGCTTAATAAGCACAGAGCGGGACTGTAACAGCGAGGGACTGGGATGGCAGTCCTCAGCACCAGGATGCCATGACACCTGCACATGCTCACTTGCCTCGTGTCCACACACCCACAAGGGGAAGGTGGAGCAAAGGCCAAATGTGGCTCTGCCTGCCGTTGCTGTTCCTCAGAACACATCCCACTCACTCAAGTAAGTAAGTAAGTAAGACTCTGGTCTTAGCAAGAGCAGAGCCAGCCAGCTGTTGGGGTGGGAAATAAATTGTATGCAGAATTATTTATTTCTCTGAAGAGAAGATCAATTGAGAACAGTGGTTCTCAGCAAGGGATGATCTTGACCCCCAAGGGGACACTAGGCAAGGTCCGGAAACTGTTCTGGTTGTGACTGCCGGAAGGGAGGTGCTACCGCACCTACTGGGTGGAGTTGGAGGTTCTGCCAAAACCCTGCGCTGCCCAGTACAGCACTCTGCAGCGCAGCAGCCCTGACTTATGAGACACATGGGTTCCCATTACTTGCAAAATGTTAAGAGCCCCTGCAAGCCAGGGTGTGGGCAGCTTTCATAAATGTCCTGAAAAAGCCCACGCGTGCCTGCGTGATGGCCACAGCTCAAGCCAGTTCACTACACTGCTCAAGTCTCTAAAGCTCCTACTGATTTGTTTGCTCTATGCCTACCAAAAGAATCTTGCTGGTAAATGAAACACTATCAATCTGAAGGGATCCTTTTGCCTTACAAGTCTACAGGTCAATATTAATAAGTTCTTGCCATCTCTCTTTTATTGATGGTCCCCAGGGTACAAGCTTCTCTGTCTTTTCCTGTTCACCCTTCATGTCCTTATTTTTTGTCTATTATGAACATGATGAAGTTAGACAGAGACATGAAACTAGATGGAAATCCAGCCTGACACTCATTCTGATTGGTGCTGAGCTATGGTTAAAGTTTTTGTTTTTATGAAACTTTTTGTTTTACCTAACCTATAGTTAGGGGAGCACAAGAAGACTGTATTATGAGGGCACCATCAACTCTCTTGAGGAGCTAGGAAGTTCCCAGAACAAAAGCCTCTCACTCCTGGTTGGAACATACACTGGCAGTGCCCAATGGCTGTCTAACGACCAAAGGGAAAAGGTGCAGTGAATGACCCGGATGTTTGCTTGCTGCCTGGGAACTGACGGGCACCCAAGAGAAACTATGCCCACAGCACAGTCTGTGCCAGAACTGTAGAACTGTAATTCTTCCCGACTGTTTTGATTAATACCAGTATTACTATCTGGATTAACGCTTGTCTTGCATCAGTCTAACTTCCATTACCTTTTATGGGCTTTTCACAAATAACATATGGTTTTAAACTTCTACACTTTGTCATTTTGTTCTCATCTGAGAATGAGCCACCCATTCAAAGTTCCCCATTAAAAGGCCAAGTGGGGTTTAGCTGCCTTCAAACAGACCCAACACCAGACGTCTCCGGAGGCCAGGCCAGTCCCAGACTCCTACCCACGCAGGAGCACCAGAGCACACACCGCCTAAGACAAGATGGCTGGACCATGGCTGGCAGGGCGGGAGCTGCTATTTGCGGAGAAGCTGGGCTCAAGATTTCAATGCAAAGCTCTAAATCTTTCAGCTTTACTACCCGAGCATTTGTTTTCACCTCACTGTGTGTGCCTTGGAACACAAAGTCAAGCAGGCCTAATATATAGTAGCTGGTTGATTTTTTTAAACTGTGGTAAAATATACACTTATGTGGCTGAATTTGAGGGGGTCTCATCCACATTTCCTCTCGTGGGCACAAGCTGCTTCTTTCTTAGGGCCAGTGAGTGGGGTCTGGGTAGAGAAAAGGCCTTCAAGAAGGCGACAGGCTGTATCTGAGAATGTCACTCTGTCCCCAAACTAGAACCTCACCATACTGGGCATTAATATAAAACTACTGGCTTTAAAAATAATGCCTTACTTCAAATGTAACACTTTATGGCTGTCCACACACTCCCAGACACTCACTTTTCGCTCACCCCTATCTGATCAACCAAGTAGCTTTCCCCTTGTTAGGTGAGGGTATGTGGTCCAGGTAGGAGAGGGGACTTAGCCAAGGTCACAAAGGAATAACTCACAGACAGAGGTAGAACTCCGAGGTCATACCCCACGTGGCTGCATACGCACCTCTCACCTCCCTGAAAATGCTCATAAAGACTTTAGATGTTGACCTTCCCTTCCTTGTCTCTTCTGGATTCGACACGATGCCCAGAAATAGCATAACTAACATCCCCACCAAACCCCACTGCATCAGACAGGATGACTTCTCAGCGGAAAATCCTCCCATCAGATGAGCGCACGGGAGACCAGCCCAACAGCTTAGGCGGCAAGTTGATGCTGGGTCCCTCCAGGCGGCCAGTGGGACACCAGCACGCTCAGAGCCACCCTGCAAGAGGCGGGCTGCTGGCAGCTGGAGCGGGCACTGCCGCTCGCTCTGGAGCCCGTCCAGACATCGTGAGTCAGTCCATTCCCTCCTTGGACAGCCTTACAATCAAGCTGCTCTCAGACTCATGTTCTGACGAGCTGGATCAAGTCAAAACTTTCCTACAGGGTGTGCTACAAGGAGAAGGCGCACTTCCTCCAGAGGTGCAACAGCCCAGTGGAATTAGACAGGTCTCAGAATGTTGCTGGCAGAAGCATCTCAATGTGGCCTAAAAAAGGAACCCTACCCCCTAATGGCATCTTTTCACAAGGATGCTTAGGCCCTGGTCCAAAGCCAAGGCCCAACCTCCACATAAGCAAAAGCAGCCTATGAACCAAGCCATCACTCTCTGACTCCACTGCGTGAGGAGGGGTCACCAAGCAAGAGCAAGCATCAGCACATCAGCAGAGGCAAGACACTAGAGTATGCTTTCCTAAGGAATCTCCCGGAAAGGTGGTTTATTTTTGCCAACTGGCACTAAGAAGACTTCAGAAAGACACTCCATCCTCGTATAATGGGGTGGCCTCCTCTCTGAGCCAAAGTCCTCAGCAAGAGACCTGCAGTGACCTGCACAGGCATCCCCTGCCCTGAGAGGCCTCACCTCCATAAAAACAAGGCACACAGTTCTGGCTCTGAGAGAACAAGCAATTCCAGGAGAGTGGAGGCAGATGTCCTGAGAAGTACAGTGGGGAGCGAGGTGGTTTGGACAGGGCTGCTCCTCCATGGCATGTGGAGAGGGAAGAGCCACAAGGTGAATGAAACCAGATGCCAATGCCTGCGGCTCGCCGAGGAGGAAGCGCTGTTTCACCGACTGCTGACGCCCTTACCTTAACAGCACACGCTGTGCGGGCCTGTGGCAGGCAGCTGGGGTGGAAGCACACAGGCCAAGGGGAGAGAGGGGACGCCGCAAACAGCCCGATGCAATGCACGGGCACAACCTTCAAAGAGAACCAAGGAGACAGAGGGCAGGAATGTATCTGCAAGGCGCGGCAGGTGACAAGGACAGGTGCACTCCTGTAACTAAGAGGCAGATGAGGAAAGAAAACAAAAGGCGAGGAGAAAAGAGGTGTGGAAGAAAGGCCGAGGAGAGAAGCAAGCAGGCAATTCAGGGCCTTGGTGCACAGCACAGCAAGGACAGCTTCCTGGCAGTCTCGGGTCTAACCACACTTCTGGTGGCCGAGGGGAGGGCAAGCCCCGAAGACTGATTCAAATATCCATCCCGGAGAGGGAAGACACCCAGACGCTCCTGTTACACTACAGGGGCACGAGGAGGTGTCTCGCCCATGCTGGGATCTACTGCCTGCTGCTGCTTCCAGGGGCTTTCCCCAGGTGCCAAAGCAGCACCTTTCCCATTCCACCACTGCGCCCCATTCTCATAACCAGAATCTCTGATCAACAAATCATCAAGTATTAAAAGGCATCAGACCTCTGTCTCGCTCACTGCTCCCCTCAGCAGTGTATCTCAGAAAATCTGCCTGTTCTGCTCTCCACTGTCTCTGGTGAGTCTTCTCACTCCCTGCACCTCTGGCCTGCACCCCAGCTTTTGTGTGCATATATAAATCAATCATAAAAAAAATTAAAGGAAGTCCCTGGTTCTGAGTTAGGAAATACCCTCCTTTTACAAGCAAGGGTTACTGTTTAAGTGAGTTTTCTCAGGTAACTTGTCTTTGTCAAAGTTTCCATTTCTATAGATGACATTTTCCAATTTTTTCTCAAATTCAAGGTATCATGATCAACTCTGGGCTCCCTGTAAACCAGAACGTAGCTCGTCTTGTGCAGCTGTCTCAAGTGGAGGAGCATGCAACTGCAAGTGGACAATAAGGAGGGCCCGCACAAGAGGCTGGACGCCTGCAAGTGTCAGCATCTCTCTCAGAACTGCCTGATGAACACAAGGACACCATTTTAGAAGAAAGCCCAGA